AGCAAGAGGGGGAAAGAGATGGGGGCAGGCAGATTTAATCAATTAAAAGTAGAAAAGAAGCAAAAGTAGAGAAAGAGAACAGACCCCAGTGGAGTCAGTAGACCTAGTTTAAAGCCTGTCACAAATGTTTTGTGTGTGTCTGTGTGGACTTGAAGGAGTCAGTTAAGCATTCTTTAAAAATGCTCTGAGTGAAATAAGTATTGTCAATTATAAGATTTATTTTTATTACTTTAAATTATTTGCATGTGTGTGTTTGTATGTGGGCATGTGCACACTGAGTGCAGTGCTCCAGGAGGCCAGATGGGGGCATCAAATCCCCTGAAACAGGCAGCTGTGGGCCACCTAAGGTGGGTGCTGGGAACTGAACTCCAATCCTCTAAAGAGTAGTCGCTGAAACATCTCCCCAGTCCCAGTTTATGAATTTTGAAAAGTAATTAAAATATATTTTAGAGCAAGATGAATGGGCAGGCATTCTGCAAATATTACATTTAAATAGATTTTAATTTTAGGTGTAGTACCTGGAAGGATTGTGTGAGTTTTAGGTAAGTTCCTAAATGAACCTCTAAGTATGGGTCCTACTCTGAAAAACAGCAATGAAATGCAATAATATCATCAAATTGCTGTCAGTTTACATGAAGCACCATAGGCATACTCCCTCAAACAGGCTGGCATGGGACAGGCAGACCCTTAGAAACCATGAAATTTCTCAGTAAGAAAACAGCATGAAAGCCATCTCCTAAATTTTCCTCCACTGAAAACTGCAGTTTTTAACAGACTGTTCTTGGGCTATAGGACCATTCCCCTGGAGCAGGTGCACATGCTATGGTTTGCCAGAGAATGTCTATGTCTGAGAGTGGGTCAGGGAAACGTTCAAGAACACAGTAGAGAAGCAGGATTTCAAGACCAGGTCCTACTGAAAGATCATTCTATTGCACAGCAGTAACTGTGGGCTTTACTGAATTAGTCACAACGCCCTCCTCCCAGCACTCCTGTAAGCCCCGGAGCGAACCCCGTCCTCTATGTTTCCTAATGATCGGTTTTAATTGTAGATGTGACACAATTCATGAGGGCTAGCTAGAGTAGGCTGACCTGTGGGTATGTCTGGCGGGTAGGTGAGGAGGGAAGATCTGCGTGCTGTGAGTGGCAGGAAGCTCCGGATTGTAGAGAGTGGAGAAGCGCCCTGAGCACTAGCAAGCATGCACTAGTGCACTGCTCTGCGCTCTGCTCTGAGCTGCATTTCCCTGCAGCGTGGACCGTCACCTGGAGCTGTGACCACAGAGACCCTTTCCCGCCTGTACTGCTTCTGTCAGGGTTGTATTAGGGTGATGGGAATGGAACGAGGGCTGTTTTCAAGGGGATGCTCCGTCTGTCAAGATGACTGCCTCGGAGAACTACCTCTGCCACAAGGAACGGCAAACATATCTATTTCTTGGTGACTTACATGCTCTAAGCTTTATTCTTACTTCGTAAGTCATGACCTTCGAATTATAGCAATCAGTTCATTTTTCTTGACTCCGAACAATCAGCTAAACCAAGTGCTCTAAGAGCCAAGAACCTCGAGTGAGGGCCTAAGCTACCCACCCACTCACAAACCGGACAGAGCATCAAGCTCCATGTGAGCCCATGCCCTCTTCTTGTGGGAACTCTGAGCCAGTGCCCCGCTCCCAGAACTAGCTCTAATCTGAGTCTTGCTCCGACATCACCCACCATAGCCTATTTATGTACACGTGCCATCATTTGTGTATCATTGCTACTTCTCCCATAAAGCTGTTCTTTATCACCATGTCTCCCGTGAAGTCAGCTCCACCACTCTTTGGCAGTGTTTTCTTCTATCTGATCACGGGTTGGCTGAACGGACTCCTTCAACGTCACATATTTGATCTGTAAAAACTCATGCAGGACTAGCACCATCTCTTATTTGAGACATGCATTCTCATGTCTTTCTCATTCCCCAGGCTTAAGTAATATGAATTATGCCGGCAGAAGAAATGGCATTTAATGCAAGCCTTCAAGAACAGGAAAGATGAGCTGGGCATGGTGGTGTACTAGGGAAACTGAGAGGGGAAAAGTGCTTGAGTTTAAAGCCAGCAAGGGGGAGTGTCAGGCCAGCCCGGGCTATATCCTTTGTACACACACACACACACACACACACACACACACACACGGAGGGGAGAAGAGAGAGAGAGAGAGAGAGAGAGAGAGAGAGAGAGAGAGAGAGAGAGAGAGAAGGAAAGATGGTCTAGGCATGGAGACCAAGCTGCACACGGGGACAGCCGCAGCAACCTAACAGAAATGAAAAAGGATGAGGAGGTTCTAGGAAACAGCAAAGATTTTACCTCAACCTACAGCTTAGGCAGCCTGAAAGCACATGGTCTCTCACAACTGCAAAACAGACTTACAAAATGAACGTCATTTTGCAGGTCCTGGCTAAGCTTTGGGGATACTGGAACAAGACTATGGCTCCAAGACACTGGAAGCTAAAAGAAATATTTAAGAAAAGTTGAGGCTAGAAGTGGAGCTATCATAGCACTGAGAGCCTCAAAGAGGGAAGTGGATTTGGGAGTAAAAAATGTAAGACAGAAGCAGGTGATTCTCTACCAAGTAATGATGCTAAGGGCCTCAGTTTGAGTAACTCTGGAAATGGAGGTTCCATCAAATATGATAAAATAGATGTGTGTGATGGTATCCTCTGTGACTTTGAGGCCACCCTCGTCTGTACAATGAGTTCCAGGCCAGCCAGGGCTGCTTTGTGAGGCCCCATATCAACAAACGAATAATCAATAATACAGGCTCGGGGAAGCTCTTGGGAGAGAGGGGGAAGACTGTGAGAGCTGAAGAGAGCCATGCAGGCTGGCTATTTGGTCATGAAATGGCCATTGCGCTCATAAATTCTCTGAAGCTATGGTTGCCTGAATGATATTAAGCCAGCAGAGGTTCCAACATGCCACCAAACAGTTCTAACTGGATTCAGTGGGTTCCACAAACCTAAAAGGAGAGGACATGAAAGGGAGGGGGAACGTGTTAGGGAGGCCTGTTGGAGGGCAGGAGGAAAAGGACGTGGCAAGCTACATTGTTTATATGGATGAAAATGGTATTGTGGTGGTTTGTATTGGTATGTCTCCCATGGATAGTGTGTTTGCACATTTTGTCCATAGGGAGTGACACTATTAGGAAGTGTGGCCTTGTTGGAGGAAGTGTGTCACTGTGGGGGTGGGTTTTGTGGTCTCATATATGCTCAAGCCACACCCAGTGTGGCAGATCACTTCCTGTAGATTAAGATGCAGAACTCTCAGTTCCTTCTCCAGCACGTCTGCCTGCATGCCACCATGTCCTGCCATGATGATGACAGAACCTCTGAACTGTAAGCCTCCACCCCCAATTAAATGTTTTCCTTTATAAGTGTTGCCATGATTATGGTGACTCTACAGAGCAATAGAAACCCTAACTAAGACAGGTGATCTATTTAAACATAAGGGAGGAAGAAGTTTCAGAAAAAAAGACTATTTCCATTTTAAATATCAGGAGTCCTTACGTCTTGTTTAGATAGTCAGGGACAAGATCTAACAGGTAAGGTAAATAATAGCGCTGGGACATAGGGGGAAAGTGTTTCAGCAGGAAATGTCATCAGGAAGCTTCCAGCTAGGCCAGGAGGATGGACAGGGCTGTGCAAGCAGACACGGCTCTAACACAGACCCTTTAGTGATGTCTACAGTTCCCAAGTGGCAGGACTGAGAGAAAATGGTGAGCCAGACAGGAGGGAACACAGGACAGCATTGAAATAAAGTAGCCAAACACGGAGGCTAACAGGACGTACCAAACCACTTACCGCGTTGAAAAGATGAAGGTCAAAAGCATGAAACTCAGTTGAACGGAGACTACTGAGGAAAAAACAAGACAAGACAGTGGACTGAGTGGGAATTGGCACCATAAGAGTCTCCTGTAGCCTGCTGAGCTCAGCCTAAAACTTGTTTAAAATTCAAAACAACTAAACCAATATACACTGCTAAGCTGGCAGAAGCATAAAAGATTGGACTTAAGCTGTTCTCCTCGGACACAGCTGATGACGTCAGAACTCAGGAAGATCCAGAACACCCTTTGAGGTGGATTTAATGATCTCATTTGTTCAACTTAAAAGAACTGGTTTATACTAAGAGCTGAACAGCACAGATGTACACATAATGTATTCCTTGAAACAACTATTCTTGATGTTAAAAAGATTATTCGCTATTTTAATACTAATAAAAGTCATGCCTGAAATTACAGGACAACTAGAATACGAAGTTTCTCTTTAAACTTTAGTAGTTACTAACATTTAAAGTATTCTGCTCCTTAAAAGTAAAGAGCCATTTCTTTATATAAACTTTATTATATTAGAAACTAAGATGGAAGCTTTTACACATTATCCAATGCAGTTGAATTATTATCAATGCACAATAACATCCTATGCCACAAATCTTTCTGAAGTCACTGTAAGAGATCAGATTGAGTTTAACTTAAGTTGGTGACTTACTGAACTGTGGCACATCGGGTGCAGAACGTGGCACATGTTATGGCTTCTCTTATCTAACACAAATTACTGTGGATCAGAAAATGGTGCACGGAACATAAAAGTAAAGCAGATTAAGAACGCAAATGTAGGGCTGATGTCTTTCTAAAGAGCATATATATAAGATCAAGTCAGCGAGTAAATAAAATAATAGCCAAGGGGATGGAACTGCTTCACAATACTGCAGAGGAGGCCAGGGGACGGCAGGACCTGCTGAATTCTGACTTACTGATGAAGAGTATGAGGACGAGGCTGAATTTATCCAGGTCGATATGCGGGTTGGAGAAGGTGTCGCAGAAGGTGGTGTAGATGATCATGAGGAGTACACTGCTGCTGACGGCGCCGAACGGGGGCTTCTTTCTTTCGAGCCAGTCCTTGATGAATCTGCGGACGATCTGAAACACAGACATCAACAGGTCGCCTCTTCTCTGAGAGGCAGGAAGTGGAATTGGGCATCACAAAGTGATTCTGACAGCGCAGACAGAATGGGAAGAGAATGATCTGCATGGCGGCCACAGTGGGCTTCAAAGCTTCTCCGCCTTGCCACTCTTCTTCTGGGGAATTTGGTTTTTGTGGTGCAACTTCCACTGGGTGTCCATAATGAGAGTGGATTTTCAACTCCATTCAAACCCATCCTTAATCATGCCAAATGCTCTTTGCTAGCTGTCACTGAGACAGGCCCATTAAGCCTCCCCCAAGTTTATCTCCTCTGCTAATCTTAATGGATGTGTGTAATTATCACAGTCCCCTTTGCCTCAACAGACAATTCCAAGTGCGACTTTGGGAATCTTAAAAATCTGACATCTTCAAGAATTTCAAGACAGTAGATAATCGAAAGTGATCCATGAAACGTATTAATATTTAAAACACTAGCAATGCACCAGAAGTTTTTAATTAAATTATAACTCATGCTTGAAAAGCAAAAGTGCATGTGTTGTGGGAGTTTAAATAATTCACATATGAATATCTAGAGTTTTCTGTGAATCCAAAGACAAATGCCATTTGTACGCTTTTAGAATTCTAAAATTAATACTTAAAAATGAATAAACCTATCCTAACTTTTCCACAAAAGAACTGGTGAAATAAAAGTTATAATGCAGCATCTTCTTATTTTAAGACAAACTCAGATATTTAAGATCAGGACAGTCTAAACACTGGTGGTTCTGTTGGCTTGGGCATGCAGGAAAGTGGGCCACTCAGCTTCAAGTGTCTTTTCACCTTTAAAGGAAGTGGTGCAAATTCCACCATCCAGATGAGAGTGGAGGAATTTTAAGTTTTGATTCATTCCTTTTCCTGAATAAATGAATGTGAAATTTCACAACAGATTGAGTTACCAGAGATGCACTAGCAGTTATGAGGTGAGGGAACCACTGTCAACAAGAAGGCTAAGTTTGCAACGGAGCACAGCCTTATTATGAGTATTGGAAACAAAACAGGACAGTCATCTCTCCAAGCCACGCTTGTGTTTCCTGCAGTTTTGAGCACCTGTGGGCAAGTTCACCCTGAATATGGCAAGTAAAAACTCAAGAACTAAGAAACTCACAAACTGTGAATACATTTTTATTGTAGTTTGTTATTACAATTAAATTTATAGTGGTTGTAGTTAATCTTTTACTAGGCCTAACTTGTAAATTAAACTTCATCATATGTCTGTGTGTCTGCATTTACGTGTGCAGAATAAAGTCTACAGTGGGTTCGGTTCTATGCACGGCTTCAGGCTTCCACCAGCGGCTGATCAGGATAACACAGGACCCTGCATTCTCTCGACTGCACCTTTTGGTGAATGATTGCTGAATCTGCTTCTCTCAGCTCAAGCAATGAGTAAGCTGACTGTAAACAGGTAAGAGTCTTAAAAGAAGGCCGGTCACTTGGTAACAGGCACAGGAACACAACGTTGAAGCTTGTGTGTTGTGGGAATGAAGGGGAAAGAGTATTATAGACTGATCAGCAATGGTTGGGACTTCTTTAGAAGTGGATCTTAAAGTAATAACTGGCTCACTGAAGTACTGATGGGGAAGGAGAACCCTCAAACTTTTTCTTTATTGGTGTTCATTTATTTTCTTAGTGTTGAAAATATACTGTGTAGAGATAAGAACAGGTCTGTTGCCAGTGTTATTGACTATTGTATAGGAGATGAATTCTGCAGAGCAGTCTGTGCAGTATCATGCGCCACCGGTGAGATGGCTTTTGTACAAACTTGACACTAGGGCACGTCATTTAGTCATTTCATAACATACTATACATTAAGTATGGTCTTCCAAATTTTAATAGTCCAACTGCTTTAAAAATAAATGGAAATAAATGACATCTGTGACAAGTTACTCTGACTTCAATATAGAATAGTTGAAAACATACCCGCTCTGCAGTAGACTAGAATGCATGATCCCAACTCTCAAAGTAAATGTGCCCACCTCGCTCACCACCACATCCCCCCACCTGACAAAATAAACAAATAAAAATAAATGGGGCAGAGCGCGAGAGCCAAAGCCACCTTAGAGCCAAGGCATATCTTTAATCATCAATCAACATTATGAGCAGTGATTTGATTTAGTTAACCTAATAGTTTCTCAAAACTTCATTACAAGGCACTTGGTCTTGTGGTAGCATAGGTTGCTTTCACTATGGCAAGAAACAAAGGGTCCTAATTCAGAATCCTAGGCCAAACAAGTCCACAGGTCAACGCCCCATACTTAATCTTGATGAAAACAGCTACAGTCAGAACTAAATGAACCCCCAGGGCAGGGACAACCCTGAGGGGAACAGATCGCCCTTGAGCATTTCTAGAGTCATTGTGTCATCTGGCCTTGTTCTCCATCTTTCTTTCCAGCTCCAAGGAGCCTTTCCATCTTGCTTCAGATGCCATTCCCAGAGCTACTGCTTTTGCACTGTGTAGTCAGAGAGGTGATCTGAGGAAGGAATTGCTGATGGCCTCACAGATGAGGCCACGAGTTCCAGGAAGACCCATCCCTCAGTTCATAGTCATACTCCGTTTCTTACGACTTTGTGCCTGCCAGGCAGTGGTGGCGCACGCCTTTAACCCCAGCACTCAGGAGGCAGAGGCAGGTGGATCTCTGTTTGAGGAGTTTGAGGTCAGCCTGGTCAACAGAACAAGTTCCAGGACAGCTAGGGCTGTTACACAGAGAAACCCTGTCTCAAAGCAAAACCAAAGAATTTGTGTCATCTAAAAGTTCTCCAGACTGGGGCCTTATGGGCAGTTTTAGACACCCTACAGGAACCAAACCTTTGCTAGAGAGATCACCATATCCTGAGACTGTCCCATGAGAGAATCCTCAGGAACAGAGACAATGGAGATGCAGTGGGAAGAGGCATTCAGGTGAGGTGGCCAGGTATATCTGTTTAGAACTTATACTAAATTCATTTGTTCCCAGTGTTCAGAGAAACTTGGGCATTAAAAATTAAGCAACAAATCCTCATTAGCTTATTTGCTTTTCCCAGTAGGGAAGGGGTACGTGTGAGTCTCCCACAGGAAAGCTTTCATTTTATTGTTTCATCTTTAATACTTTAATTTTTGTTATTTTAAATTAAAAAGCTGGCAAGGCTATGGGAAAATTAAACTTGACTGCATTTCCAATAAGCTCTGTTTCATATCAACTGCAACATGACTTCACACTGGAACCCAGTAAAAGTGACATATCTTAGTGAAAAATGCTGATAGACCAAGATGACTCTGAAGTGGGCAATATTCATCATTTTGGTTTTCTTAATCTTTTTGGTCAATGAATTTTTCTGCTTTTTCTTTCTTTTCTGTCTTTACATTTATAAATTGAGTTTGGAGTGAGGATACATGATGGGTAATTCTTCATGTTAAGCCTGAGTTTTAAAATTTATTTCTCTTCAAGGTGGTTTCGGGTTCTTCAGTGTTCACCTTCTATCGCAGTGAATTAATATATTTCCGTAAAGAGGTTTGTCTCTTTAACATCCTGTTGAAGGGATATTGCAAGACAGGTTTATGTTTATAATATGTTTCTCTTAAAATGTTTTATTAAATATTGATTAGTTTAAAGTAATATTAGCATACTTTGAAAAAAGTATAAATAAATAATAAACTGGAATAATCAACATCCATTAGCGATAACCCATCTAAAAGTGGTTACAAGCATCAGTTTGGGAAAATTCCTTCGTCCATTCTCAGAACAACGTGTAGACATCTTGCTGGGGACACAGTTGTCAACAGAGGCACAGAGTGCCTAGACAACCTGCATAAACTATAAAAAGCTAGTCACGCGGTGAGCAGGGATGTGCTCTCTAATTGTGAGAGAACTCTGCAGGGTATCGGGTACACAGAAGAACCAGGTTATGCATAACCTTGAATCCTGGCTCCACCCTTGACTTCCTGTGGCTGCTCTGTGACAGGGTTATGGCGTAGTTAAGAGTGATGAACTGAAGATGCTTTAGAAACGGCCCGTGTGTGGTGAGTGATCTCACAATTCTGGCTCTGGGCTGGTGAAGTGTCTGTGTCTGTTCACAGCATAGCCCATCCCGCAGGACAATGTACCAGCACAACACAACTGTATGAAGCTAAAGAAAGACCCAATTCAGCATCGTATATACAGACTAGCAGAGCGTTAGTAACACTAACTGCAGCTTATACTAAAGCCCATATATCAGGAATGGCCAACTTGAAACTGTGAAGTAAATCCTGAGTGGAAAGATGAGAAAATGCCTTTAATTGTTAATTCAGAGAGAGAAGGTGGGCTGTCGTGTGCTACTCTGAAATCTAACCAGGTGAAAGAAAAGAATAAAAGGGGATAGTGTAATGGATTAATAAAAATGCTGTAGGATCCCCAGATCCCTGGATTCCCAGCAGCTGCAGTGGCAGAAATGCTGCAGGTCCCCAACTGGTAGCAGCAGGCCATGTGGCAGCAGGCAGCAGGTCCGAGAGCAGCCAGTCCTAGACAGGGAAGGTGCAGTTCTCTGAGTGGCTGCAACAGGCCACTAGGAGAGACAGACAGATGGGCATGCCACAAGACCATGCCGCAGGTCTCTGAAGGCAGCTGGTCCCAGGCAGGGAGACATGTGGCAAGCGAGAGAAAGAGACATAGATAGGCATGCAATGCAGAGTGAGGTTGGATGTTTATTTAGTGGGTTATGGAAGGGAAGAGGGAGGAGAAAGAAAGAAGAGCAGAGAGAGAGAGAGAGAGAGAGAGAGAGAGAGAGAGAGAGAGAGAGAGAGAGAGAGA